AACGTATGCTATGTATTGTATTGTCATGAAATTTATGTATTGTCCGAAGCTCTTGCTGAACTTGTTAGATTTCACTCCAATAAGAAAATCAAGAAAAACATTCAAGATCAACTTCATGCAAACAACTTCAACAATTTGCTATGAAAAAAGTGAATCGAGGTTGCAATGTTCAAGATCAACTTCATGCAAACACGCCAGACTTCATGCCAACAAGAAAATCAAGAAAACAATTCAAGATCAACTTCATGCAAACAACTTCAACAATACGCTATGAAAAAAAAAAGTGAATCGAGGCTGCTTGTTAGTTTCTTTTTCTTGGAATATAACGTATGGTATGTATTGTATTGTCATGAAATTAATGTATTGTGTGAAGCTCTGCTGAACACGTCAGACTTCATGCCAACAAGAAAATCAAGAAAAACATTCAAGATCAATTTCATGCAAACAACTTCAACAATATGCTGTGAAAAAACAAGTGAATCGAGGCTGCAATGAGCTAACACTATATGGTAGGATTTAAAAGGAAAAACCTTGGCACTGAACAAGAGTGTAATCAAGCTGCTTCTAAATGCCAGATTTAAATTTCATAGCTTTCATTTATGTTACAGATTGAGCTTGCTGGATCACATCAATACCCTTGCATCAGAGCTATCACAGATTTTATCATAGGGTGTGTAGAAAGCTTCCTTTCCTTCCTCACCGAGTCTGCAAAAAGATCTTAGAGCTTAGTTCTTGGTTAGCTACTTAGGTTATACAGTGATTTAAATGGTAAGTAATCTACATGGTATTCATCTTTGAATTAACGGATGAAGATAAAAAAAAAAAGAAATTCTCTATTACCAAATCTGGAACAAAGAAAAATACTTAGTATTCATACCAGTAGTTTGTCCTGTTATAGAAGATCATCAATACAGAGTTATGCTGTCTGGTTCAAAGAAAACATGGCATCAATAGAAAACATAGGATAACTTAATAAATCACAAAGGACTGACAACAAATTCATCATAAGCGGAACCATTAAAACCTTAAATTTATGTTTTACAATTTATTTCTCACTAGCAGCTGCTCTTAATCATCTTTTAAACAAGAGGTACCCAATTTTGTAGACTTTAAATCCTAAGCACAAAAAACCTCTTCACTTTAAAATTAACTGTAACAGAAACATACATCAAAGATAACTTCAATCAGTAAGAACAAAAACATGGGTTTGATGCAATATCTCAGAAACTTAAACCTAGTTTTTTTTAAACACAAATTGTTTCAAAATCAAGAGAAGCTATGAGTTAACAATAACTAGTCTAAGATCTTAAGACCTGATTTTCCCCCTTTCCGAAAAACCTAAATTGATACTCTACAAGTACAAATCGAAAACAGTAACATGCATGATTTAATTGTAGTGTATAAGATGATTAATCAATCCGTAAAGCTAATTTAGTTTAAGAAAGATGAAAATTCGGTTTAAAAAAAGGATTAAGAGAATCAAAAGAATAAATTGTATACCTAGTAGAAACATGAGATTTTGACAAAATTGATGGAAGAACACTTTGATTTTGTATTGACCCGTCCGGCGAAACCAGTTGAATAAGAACACTTCGATCTTGTTGTTTTTTCTATGAGATCGAAGAGGAAGATGAAGGAAACAAGGTTAGAGACTAAGGGCAGACGAAACACCGATGAAGAACTAGAATTCTCTCCAAGAACCCTAAATTTCCATGGAAGGAGCCAAGAGCTACAGTGGAGAAAACAAGGTAAAAAAGAAAAATTAAGATATTGATACCCTTAACCCTGTCTCTTTTTTTTTTTTGAAAGAATGTTAAATTTATTCGAATCAAAAAAAACTTTTTAACAAACTAGTGTAGCTGTAAACTAACATGTGTGATAGTTTTTTGAAAAGATATTAGTGAATAGAGAAACCACCTAATCCCTAGAAAAAACCATATCCCCATGGCTAAAACATGTTCCTTCTCATCCTTTTAGAGAACTGATTCGGTTCCTTGTCTACTGAACCTTGCCGTGTCGTCTACCATTTTGTTCCAGCCAGATAGTATGCACTGAAAGCTGAAATACATATCTTAGGATGAACTTTTACACAACTGAGATGTTATGTTTTGATAGAAGATCCAGAATTTGACTCCATATGTGTGTGTAGCTCTGTCCAAGTATCTTCCTCATGAGATTTCTCCAAATGGCCTCTGTAAAAGAACAACCGAAGAAAAGGTGATTCCGTGTTTCAACATCAGAATTGCGTAGGATGCATTGAGAATTCGCTCGAGTGTTCCACTGCAACAGTCGATCCCCTGTAGCCAGACGGTTGTGTACTGCAATCCAGGCCATAACAGAGTATTTGGGAGTAGATCCAGCGAACAAGAGTCCCTTATACCACTGAACATTTGCCTGTTTCCCGCACATTATGTTCCAAGTTTGGTTAGTGTCGAAACAAGGTCTAAACACATCTCCTTTTCCTTTCCACAAAATCACATCATCCTCATCCGTAAGCCCTTGTGCTCTCAGCTTCCGATCTCCTTATCAATGGTGTTGAGGTGTTCTGCTCTGTAACGTGACTCCGGTAAGTATGTATAACAAAATTACCGTGGCGTTGAGGTTGATCCCAAGCGCAATGCATCCTTGCATACGTGTGATGTCCATTATCCTCCCTAAAGAGGACCACTCATCGAACCAAAAAGAAGTGGTAGCACCACTTCTGATATCAACTTTAACAAATGATCTAGCAAGAGCTATACTTCAGCAGCTTTTTCCAAATCCAAGAACCAAGAGAGCTGGTGGCACTAATACTCCAGAAGGATCCTTTTCTAATCAGATATATTTTAACCCATTGTACCCATAGAGTAGAGTGCGATAGAATACGCCTAATAAGCTTGAGACGGCAAACCCTGTTTGTTTCCGAGATCGTAGACCCAGACCTCCTTCGTTCTTAGGCTTGCATACATTTTCTCTTGATATCTTTGCTTTTGTCGTGCTCATTGCTGGTCCTGACAATAAAAAGGATGAACATAGCTGATCAATCTCTTTAAGGCATTGTTTTGGGAGTTTATAAACTTACATCCAAAAATTGGTGATACTGTAAATCACAGATCCAATAAGTTGCAGGCGCCCATCTCTCTCTCTCTTTTTTTTTTCCTTTTGCTTATAACTTTTTTACTATTAAATCAATTACGAAAATTATAATTTATAATTATAATTCAATCTTAATTGATTAATTTAAGGGTATTTTGATAATTACAGAAAATAAAATTTTATTTTTCTAAAAATCTGTTAGAAATCCTATTGAGATAAATCAAAGATGAAAGTGTCTCTCTTTTTCAATTTTCCTAATTTATAATATCATTCCTAACTGATCTGTTATGCATGTTTTTTTTTTCATTTTATACTGTCTTACTATTCTTCAGATCATGGTTCTATAGTGAAATAATTTCACTTTTCCAGAGAATCTTTGGTCGGTCAATGATCTTAATTTTTTTTTTGATCAATATCTTAATTCAAAATGTGATTATGCTCTCACACAGTAAAAACAAATAGAGAAAGAAATATGAGAAAAATACAAAAGGTGGGCATTGAAAAGTAGAGAAAGGACAAATGAAAAAGTTATGAAAAGACAATGAAAATTAAAAAAAGACAGACAAATCTCACACCCAAGCTTCAGCCTCATCTCAATTTCATAAATATAAATATTTTTTATTTAACAAGACAACAAAAACAAAAGAGATGGTTTTTGGGTTATGTTTTGTCTTTGTTAGGGTGTGTTTGGACGTTTCCGTCTTCTCAGAATCATGACTTCACCAAAACAGCTTTTTTTTTTCCTCTTTAATAAAATATAAATACTACTTTTTGTATTAGAAAATAATAGTGATTCCAAATCCACCTAATGTCAAGACAAAACTACATAAAAGTGGAGGTTCCAATCTCGAATACAGACATATATGTTGTGTCGGTATATGCATTTATAACAAGATAACTCCAAAAGGTATAATGACAAGTGGGTATCCGTTGAACTTTTCTTTTCTAGTTTCCTCTAAATCAAGAATCATAACCTAACACAAAGAAGTTAATTGCAAGATAATTACAAGTGAGACTTCTTTTGTAATACTGATTCTAATGGATACAAACGGTGATAACAACATAGTCGGTGCAATATTAGTAAAATAAATGTAAAATAATATGAATAGTCATGTATACATAACAACTACTATAGTTAAACATGAGATTGAACATTTGACCACTTTTTATTAATTCCTTAAACCCAAGGAGATAAAGACAAAGACAAAGAGGAAGAAGACAAAACCGACTATCACGCATTGTCTGGTACGTAGAGCCAAAAGGAACAATGCCCTCTGTTTTTGGTGTTTTTAGTTTCAATCCTTTCCCCAAACTACAACAATCCACCACACATACTCACAAGATAACCACTAGAGACTTCTCTCCTCTTCTTACACATAGATAGAGAACCCGAAAAAAATAAATAAAGAAAGCTTCAACATTTCCTTCTCACTGATACAAATTCCAGTAAGTTTTTTTTTTCCTTTTTAGGTTATTTTTTCCTGGTTATTGTTCTGTAGATCATTGCTAGTTTCTTTCCTGTTCTTGTGTTTATAAAAGAGACTTGCTTTCTTTTCTTTTTCAAATCCAGACAGTTTCAATCATGTGTTGTTATCTTTCTTCTTCTGTCTTTGAATCATTTGCTAATTATCAGTCTGCAGTTTTATAAGTATTGTACTTTTTTCTTGTAAATGAAGTATTGTACTTTCTCCATCCAAAAAATTCAAAACCCTAATTCCTCTGTTTTTCCTCTGTTTCATCGGACTTTTTCCCTCTGTTCTTTAACTATTTTCACCATTTTTGTTAAACTTCTGCAGATTCTCTGGATCTTTAAAAGAACTTTGAATCTTGGGTTCGGTTCTTCTCGTTGTGGGTCTCTTAAAGTTCCAACCTTTCCTTAAAAAGGATTGAGCTTTTAGTTTTAGATTCTCGCTTTGGACCCATCAATGGTTGCTATGTTTCAAGAAGACAATGGAACATCCTCTGTAGCTTCATCACCACTCCAAGTCTTCTCAACCATGTCACTCACAAGACCAACTCTCCTCCCTTCTCCCTCCTCACCGTTTCACTCCCTCAAAGACCTCAAACCAGAGGAGCGTGGTCTCTACTTGATCCACCTCCTGCTAACTTGCGCCAACCACGTGGCATCAGGCAGCCTCCAAAACGCAAACGCAGCTCTCGAGCAGCTCTCTCTTCTCTCTTCCCCTGACGGCGACACCATGCAGCGAGTGGCAGCTTACTTCACCGAAGCGTTAGCTAACAGAATCCTCAAGTCTTGGCCTGGTCTCTACAAGGCCCTTAACGCAACTCAGACAAGGACCAACAATGTCTCCGAGGAGGTTCATGTCAGGAGGTTGTTCTTTGATATGTTCCCTATACTCAAAGTGTCTTACTTGCTCACTAACCGAGCTATACTCGAGGCTATGGAAGGTGAGAAGATGGTTCATGTGATTGATCTTGATGCTTCAGAGCCTGCTCAATGGCTTGCTTTGATTCAAGGTTTTAACTCTAGGCCTGAAGGTCCACCACATTTGAGGATCACTGGTGTTCATCACCAGAAGGAAGTGCTTGATCAAATGGCTCATAGACTCATCGAGGAGGCAGAGAAACTCGATATCCCTTTTCAGTTTAATCCCGTTGTGAGTAGTTTAGAGTGCTTAAACATTGAGCAGTTGCGTGTTAAGACAGGAGAGGCCTTAGCTGTTAGCTCGGTTCTTCAGCTGCATAACTTCTTGGCCTCGGATGATGATTTCTTGAAAAAGAACAACAACAATGGGCACAGTCCGAGTGGTGACTCGGCTTCATCTTTGCCTTTCTCTAGCTCAAGAAGGATCGACAGATTCCTCAATGCTATTTGGGGGTTGTCTCCAAAGATCATGGTGGTCACTGAGCAAGACTCAGACCACAACGGCTCCACGGTGATGGAGAGACTGTTAGAATCCCTCTACACCTACGCAGCTTTGTTTGATTGCTTAGAAACAAAAGTTCCAAGAACGTCTCAAGAAAGGATGAAAGTGGAGAAGATGCTTTTCGGAGAGGAGATCAAGAGCATCATAGCATGTGAAGGATCTGAGAGAAGGGAAAGACATGAGAAGCTAGAGAAATGGAGTCAGAGGATTGATTTGGCCGGTTTTGGGAATGTTCCTCTTAGTTATTATGCGATGTTGCAGGCTAGGAGGTTGCTTCAAGGCTATGGTTTTGATGGGTATAGGATCAAAGAAGAGAGTGGGTGTGCAGTGATTTGCTGGCAAGATAGACCTCTATACTCGGTTTCAGCCTGGAGATGCAGGAAGTGAATGATATAAGCACTTGTGACCTGTGTGTTCTCTTTTTGTTTATGAGCAGGAGGGAAACAATCTTACTTGTCTCTTGACTGTGACTTTCTGTCTCTTTTTCTTTTTCTTGGGGCAAATGCTTCTTGCTGCCTTCTGCATATAAAGTGTCTTTTGAGTTTCCAGCACTGTATGTGTTTGTTGGTTCATTTGGTTTGATATCTAAATACTGAATTCAAATCGAGTTGAAGATAACTAATGTATGGTTGGTTAAAGTTCTTCAATAGTTTCCTCTTCACTCACAAAACCGTTGCAAAGCATATGATTTCGGCATTTGTGTATGTAAATTGGGGTTACGGTTTAATCTAATGTATGCAATACTATTTACAGCAAAAAGAAAACTCATTAGACACAATAAGACTAAGGGTTTGTATCCTAATCTTTCCCACTCAATGATTCTGAGTACATACATGATGTCAATCTTTATAACCTAACCATGTCGCGTCTAAGGAAGCTAATATAATAGAAACAATACATTTATCATGAGTGAATAGTAAAGTTATATAGAGATTATAAATGAACATAGTAAAGTGCATAATAGAGATTTCATTGGTGTGACCGAGAGTGTGTATTTACTCTTTATTAAACCTGCGTAATATCAGTTTACTATGATCGTATATGGATTGTATTCGTAGTTGATCTGAAAAATAAATTACTATACTAGAAGTTTTTTATGGATTTATGTATTTGAAAAATAATTGAAAGAAGAGGAAATTTTTATTTTTTCTTTTTCTTTAATTGTACTTTTTGGCAATTTATTTTTATTATTCAGTAAAACAATTCTCTCTCTTTCCAAATATACTTCATCCGTTTCAAATGATTTGTCATTCTATAGTTTTGCTCACAAATTTAAAAACTAATTAAATATTCAGATTTACCCTTGTTTGATCATTATAATTACATAACATTTAATGTTTATCATAGTTTAATTAGGGTAAAAGAGATAAAACAATATTCCCTATATTTCATTATAAGTGTCATTTTAGAATTGTGCACACGCACTAAGGTAACAATTAAATTTGTATATTTTCTATATAAAAGCACAATTACCTATACACCTTACCACATTTTAACCAATAGAAGAATAAATTACATAATAAAGTTAATAAATTTTACATTGAAAATCGAAAACGACACTTATTTGTAACGATATTTTTTTTCTACAACGACACTTAATATGAAACGGAGAGAGTAATAAAAATTGTATTGGAAACAATTAAATTTATATATTTTCTATATAAAAGCACATTTACCCATACACCTTACCATATTTTAACCAATAGAAGAATAAATTACATAATAAAGTTAATAAATTTTACATTGAAAATCGAAAACGACACTTATTTGTAACGAAATTTTTTTCTACAACGACACTTCATATGAAACGGAGGGAGTAATAAAAATTGTATTGGAAACATAAAATGACTTATATTTTGCAACAAAAAATTATGCTAGAACGACAATTAATCAGAAACGGAGAAAGTATAAGTTATTTCAGCTAAGAGCACAAAAATAAGAGACAGTTACTCTTAAAGACACTTTTGTATTTCTTTTTACTTTCATAGGCACATTATCCTGGAGCAACACATTTCCTATTTTTGAGACAGAAATATGACCAGTTTACCTTTGACCAAGTGTTTCTCTTCTTGGACTTTATGTAAAGTGACTAATAATAGATTGTGACTATAAAAGTGACGTGTATTTAAAAGGTTCCGAATTAGTTAAAAAAAAATTATTTATCTAGTCTCCAATAAAATAGAAGTTTTAAAACCTTTTTGTTCCCAACAGATTTCTTTTTGTTATTATCACATGTTATAATATATAAAATCAGTATATAATAGATATAATAAATTATAAAGAAAATTTCTTATATGTTTTGAGATCCATATGTATATATTCATTTGATATATTTTTTTCTAATGGTTCATATCAACATGGATGGATGCATTATGGATGGGTAAATTGTGGATTGAGAGCTTTGTGGACGGATGTATCATAGATGAAACATCTGCATATGTATGTTGTTTATGGTCCATGGATGAATCTGATTCTCAATCTATACAAATGCTTAGACGGATTTGTGGACGGATGGTTCTATAGAGTTATGGACTGAGTTTGTGGACCAATGCAATTTTATTTTATACACATATTGTTTGCATTTTTTTATTTTATATATTTTTAGTTCTTTTCATGAATTAATTCACAATTAAAAAGACAACATTGAAAGAATAGATTAATAGGCAAACAAATATAAATTGTGTCGACAAAACAATATACTTAGAAATTGTGTCCATAACAATTGTATCCACATCCACGAAACAAATTCAGTCAAAATCTATTGTCGTCCTCAAATAGAGAGACCATAATTTTTTTAATTAACTCAGAAAATACAATTCAAGTCAATCTATCTCACAAAAAAAAAAAAAACCAAAAAGTGTATCCATATCCATTAAGCAAGTTCAGTCAAATCTCTCAAAAAATCTCTATTGAGAGATCCAAAAACTTGGATCCGAGAGATAGAAGAAGAATAGTCTTTTAAGGAAGCTACATAAATGGCATGATTCACAATGAGCTTGAATATGCTTCTATTAGTAGTCATGGTAGCTACAAACAACCTCTTCCTCTACCACCATTTTCTTCCAATCCACCATCAAATCTTCACCGTCCTCTGTCTCTGTTTTCCCTAACCACCTCGCCGAGAAACTCATCCTCTGTGGCTGCCACCCATTCCCTCGCTGTTGTTGCTTCTCACGTACGCCGTGGAATCTAACATACACGAAACCACAACAATTACTTTCAGTGAGAGACATGTCATGTGATGGAAGAGAAATCTGAGTCATGGTGGATTTATCATCTGATTTGAAATGTTTTTAACATTTTCTCAATCTGAAAATAGAGACAGGAAGAATAAGATAGATTGTTATGTTTTTCCATTTACTTTTCCATTTTTTTGTTATTTTCTTTCGTTTGGTTTCAAGTAGGGACTAGAGATTGAATAATATAAGGATAGTAAAGTATTTTTACAAGTATAAAGTGTGTCTAATATTCAATATGTCTTTGAATCTAACTGATATGTTGAAATGTGTCTTTGGATATAAATTTCTTCAAAATTAAGAAAATTATTTAGTTTTCAAAAAGATCATTTAATACATATATTAAATATCTATCAACTAATAACAAAAAAAAAATCCAAATTTAAGAACTTTTTCTTATTATGAAGAGTTAAAGTATAAAATAAAAAGAAATTACACAAACAAAACAAATATTGCTTACGATTTCGTAGATACAATTATATTACAAAAATTTATTTTTTTAGTTTAACTATTATACATTTTATTATTAAAAATTGAATGTAATTTTATTTTGTCATATACTACCTAAAATATATTTTAGGATAAATCTTTTAAATAGTCATTTTTAGTTTTTTTGTTTCCAAAATAACATTAAAAGTCAAATGACCAAATTATGTTTTACTAAATGGACAAATGACAATTATATCTAAAATATATTTTAGGATCAATCTTTTAAATAGTCATTTTTAGGTTTTGTTTCCAAAATAACATTAAAAAGTCAAATGGCCAAATTATGTTTCACTAAATGGTCAAAACCTTGTTTTCATTTTTTCAAACAAGAATTGAAATTGTTTTTGGAAAATGATTTTTTTAAAAATTGGAAAGACCTTTCTACATGTATGATATCTTCTAAAAGAAAATTGAATTAAGAAATGCATTCATAAATGGTAAATTTACTTCTTAAATGTAGGTTATATGTATACTTATTAAATGCTTCCTAAATAGGTAAAATATGTAGGCTTATTACAAATAGTATTTTGTTACTCTATGATAATTTTATTAAGTTTAGTTTTGTTAAAATAAAATGAAAAATACAAATTTATATATATTTTTAATAAATTGGAATTAATTATTAAGATTAGTTTGATTATACTATTAAATTTAGTTTATCATATTTAGGTGAGATAACAAAAATGTTATTTTAATGTCTTATTGGAGTAAAAATTACGTCAAACTTAAATTTAGTACTTTAGCAGTGATTCAATACTCTGAATCAATCAAACCATTTAATAAAAAAACAATCTTTACTTTCAAATGATAGAAAGCGGTGAGAATTGTTTTTTCTTATAAACATGGTGTTTCTATTCCGACAGTTATTATAGATGCTGTAGATGCAGACTTTCATAAATACTAAGTGAATTTTTTACATACATAGAAACTTTTTGTCTTTATAATTACAAGTAGAGGCACTTTACACTTGAGACACACTATTGCCTTGTTCTTTGACTATTCTATCATCTAACTTAACTTTCTAATGCTAACATATCTTTCTCAACTAAATCTAAACACAAATAGATCTCTCTCAAGCCAACTCACTTTGATCCTCTTCCTCCTAACAAAGCTCAAAACTTTTATTTATTTTTGTATTCTAATCCGATGATTTTTTTTTGGCATTGTTTTAGCGGCCAAGTAGTCTCCTATGCTAAGATCGGATTCTCCACTCCACTTTTTCGATGGAACCCATCTTCCTCACTTCAACGATCTCCTCTCTCCCTTTCCTTTTCATCGAGAGACCTCCTAAACACACACTATTTAACCCTCTCTAAACCCTTACAACTCTCTGTTCTGAGAGAAACGTCACCGGTGAGGTGTTTTCTCTACGAAGCCAATAATCCAGAGCAGCCGATCGATGAAATGAAGTCTGAGATGGCGAAGAAATCAAAAATCGAATCTACTTCGCTTGGTGCGCTTTATTGTGTTTCAACATCAAAAACAAGAAGGTCTTGACTCTTGAGTGCTTACCTTTATCCATGGCTTACCTCCACACACTCTCTCGCCGTTGGTTCGTTGATGATGATGTTCTCTTGGGCTGTTGGCCTCGTTGAGACTCCCAAAACTGATTTCAATTCCTGGAAAAATACCTTTTTCCGGAAAATGTATTAGTGAAAAGGT